TTCTTTCAGTTATATACTCTCCATTGATTTGTATCTAGCCTGACGAAGAAATATTCGAAACGCGTAGCTATATATATTTTTTTTTCTTATCCAAATATAATAATTTTTTTTTCTTATCCTAATAAACTATATATATATTTCATTGATTACGTTTTCGCACTCCTGACTCATTTCTTTCATTGATTGATCCAAATCATTTTTACTCAAAATAGATTTTTTCCTCATTCATCCTTTCTTTTAATTCATCTCGATTTTCTTTTCCAAAACAGTCCATTTAAATTGCTAACTTTCCAATAAAAAAATATGTTTCTCTCAATTGAAATATAGTTGAAACAATTTCTAATACCTCCATGTTCCAATACGGAAAAAAAACAAACAACTCACTTTTGAGAATCGATTTGAATCTATAAAGAAGAATTTAGATCAAATAAATAGTTCAAACTTCACCATTTGCTAATTGACGAATCAAATCGATTTAAATCACATAATAGCAAACAACAATTATCTTCTTTTTTTTTTCAACACAGTTATTCATTGCTTATAACTCCTATCAGATTATGATCGATCAAATAGCATAGTTCATTCTACTTCTCGGTTCGAAAAATAAAGAATTGGTCAAATGTTCTACACCAATCCTTGGATATTGACACTGAGTGACCTCTATGAAAAGATTTTCATAAAAAAGTTTCTCTTAAATTTAAATAAAAATGTTTTAAAGTGAAAATATATTTACATATGCTCTAAAAAAAATCATTTTTCAATAATATTGCATCAATCTTTCCTATAGCCCTCTGTTGTATAACTTTGCATTACAGATCATTGTACTGTTTTCCTTTTTTTCAAATAATTTCAACCGACAACAGCGGAAAATAAAATCATGAAACGAGCTCTTGTATCTTTAGTTCGTCAACGAGCACTTGCTCGTAGTTCTGAATCAGCAAAAGTAAATTTATATATTAATAAATCATTTTTTCCTATTGTCTTATTTCGTTTATTGTTTAAAAGTATCTTGGGTGCAGTCATGTTTTTGCTTTATCAACATCTCGACCAA